ATATGGAAAAAGCTTTAATAAATTTCATTATCATAAATTGTTAATTTCTACTATAAACATTTTTTTCATATAATTAAGTAAGTAATATTCAGTTTGGAAGGAAAATTATTTCTGCGAAATTAAAATATTATCATATTTATTTAAAATTAGAATCGAATAAAGCTCACAATTTGAGAAAGTTTAAGATTAACATGTAAGATAAAGATAATTCTTTTCGGCAATTCTTTTCATCTCAATTATTCAACCATTATTTCTATTTGACGGAAACGTTGACTTTTATTTTATTTGATCATTTGGCGTTTAAAGATAGATGTTTAATTTAAAGCCAGTGTTTAACAAGCGGCGAATATTATTATCGAGGAAAATTCGGAAATTTAGTTACGAGAAATGGATGTCACAACTTAGAATTGAAAACGATAGCTCACACACATATTCTGCTAAACAAATAAAAGCGCCAGTGCGTTATAATTGGCTACCCTGTAATTTTGGTTGTCAATGAAATGCCACCGATGCGACTACATTTACGTCGCGCTATTGGAAACTGTTATGCGAATTGTATGAATTACAATGCAGCACAGCTCGATGCATAATTAATAAACCGCGATTACAACGGAGATTCATTTATCGCCGCGGCTGTAATCGCGTTGCCAATAGTGCATCTCGCATCTCGCATCTCGCCGTTCATCTTTTTCTTGTCGCCGACTCGCACAGAAATGCGCCAAATAAAATTTGCCATCGCATCCCCCAAGGGAGTTATTTTCGCGTCAATAAAGCGGGAACAAAATACCGCAGTTCGGTAACTATTATTGACGACAGAACTGCCTAATAACCAGAACCGTTGTAACAAACTAATCTCAAACGGAGAGCCAATTACATCGGGAGCATGGAACTTTGCCTGTCCTGTCGATACTTTACTTGAACTGCGACAACGTATTGACAGCGCCCGGTTCTCTCTCGAAGCGATAAGAATTTTGTCGTTCCGTTTGTTCGCGATCGATTAATACTCCGATGACTCTTCCGGCGGAATAACTCGCGCGTCCGTCATCGTCATGTGACACGTCTGTAAATTTCTACTATCCGAGAATTTTGGAATTATACCGTGTTATGCAACGTGTCAACCGTCTGACACTTTATCGAATTTTGTGCGTATTTTTAGAACTTGGCATATGCAAAAAGTCCCGCGAAAACTCATAATCCGAAAATAACAAGCAAAAGATAACGCTGGAAAGACCTCATTTCGAATATGCCATATACTATATTGAGCAATGTTTTCCCAAAATATTTTGAGCGCGCAAAGAATTTTTAATTCGTTTAATTCGGGAGAAAAATGTCATAGCTAAATATAATAAGATTTATGATTCAATACTCTTTGTATACATACTTTATAGAATTTTTTTATTATTTTACTGATAATGAAATTATCTCTTCTTTTACATATGTAAGTAATTATTACATGGGCCTTTGGAGTTTAATTTTTTTTTTTTCGTCTCAGCTAATCCAAAGGAACTTTATTTCTCTATTTTATATTAAGAAAATTTCTGAAAGATGGAAAAATATTTTATTTATATTTTATTTATATTTCTGCGGCATTTGAAATAACAAAGAAAGAAATATTTATTTGACTTATAATTTTCAAATCGGAGAGATTTGTAATCTGCAAATTCACCTCTTTTCTTGATTTAAAAATCGAATCAGTCTTATATATAATAACTGTCTTTCTCGAATATAAATCGAGATATATTGTGTTCTGCAATGTTGCATTAAAGGAAAATTTATAGTGCCAGAACTTAAATTTTTCAGTGTATATTCGAGGATCAAGACAGAATAATTAAATTTCGTCGGCATCGGTCGTTCTTCTGCAAATAAAGCAAATTAGCGTTACAGTTCCCTTAAAGTTGTTAAATCTCGGTCTCGTTGAATGACGACAGCCTTACGTTCGCTGGATAATCTCGATCGGGCAAAGTGGCTATTAAAACAAGCGCCACTGTTAAAACAACGACCATCGCCCAGTCGCATCACAAACAAACGAGCTGCAGGTGCGAAGCTCACTTTGGGATACTACATCTTCGTGGATTAAAGCTCAAACATAAATAAAATTTTAGATGCTTGTGCGCATAGTTGATTAAAGTCTCCGTTTTTAAACCTTTCGAAATATTTCTTATGCTCGAATTCACGAGTGGATGGAACTGCTAATTAATTAAATATACGTATAAACGATTTAATTTTATGATAAATTATTATATAAATTAAATAAATAAATATTTTTGATAAATAATTTAATTAACTATTTATTAAAGTTTAAGAGTGATTTTCTATTTATTTTCCGCGGATAAAATGCAAGTTAAATTCTAAAGTTTGTCATTTTATCGGCTGCAGATTTCCTATGATAAATTATAGCAAAATGCTGAATGTCGTTAAGAAAAATGCGATAGGTCAGGAACGCTTTAGATTTCTACGTGTAACACATTATTCTGAAATAAATTGTCTTTCGCGCGATTATTAAATTGCGAACTTTAATGCGAATTTTTTTGAGAATTGCGCGGAGTATTTAGACCGAAAGAAAATACTCTTGACGTTAACTGAAACCTTCGTCTCAAGATGAAACACTCTCCGTCCCTATTGTACTTCGTAGGGAAAATTTCTGAGAGTCCCTCTTTGAAAATCCGTCAGCGGGAAAGTCTTTAACGGAAAGAAGTCATGTCAAGCGTGCTCGGCAGTTCGGCGGGGCGGAAAGTTTATTACGACAATACTGCGATACTAAATATTTTCAAGTCCCATAGTTACAACGGGAACGCGGCGGCGAATTGCCGAGATTCTCTCGGAAGAGAATAATTCCGCGACCTAACGATCGCCGGGACGATCGCCCCCCTCTCCGCTTTTGTCCCTTAAAGTGTCGTGATTTTGCGTGCACGAGAAAAATTTACTTTGTCGCACCGGTGAAATTCGCTATGATGATTATTCTCCCTGTTAACGCGAGCGAGCTTCAAATACACCATAGAGAGAAAGATTTAGCAAATGCGAAACTAAATTTACGGGGAAGCTCCGCTAAAAAAGATCCGTGTTATCTTTTCAGTCGGCGAAGTACATTTAAACGATGGAATCGGCGAATCGATTTTAACGCAACAACGTTAGTTGTTCGTTCCATTTACGAATGTTAATTTAGCTCAGTGAAAAAAAGAACTCGCAAGTTCTCATTATTTCAGCCTCATTATTTCGAAATGAATTGCCATCGCGTAACGTATGATCAAATGAATACGAATTTATATAAACGTATCGATAGATTTGCTGTCTTCGTGATGCAAACATCGTAAGCTGCACAATAATTCGTTCAACTCGAGACGGAGGATATTTCTCTGCATGCGGTTAATCTTTGTATATACACCGTGGGATATTGTGGGCGGGGTGTAATTCGGTGCTGACACACTTCCACATACTCTCTCATGCACACGTACGTTCGTTTGTCCGGATCTGGGACTAGAATCCTCGTCTGTCTTACCTCGAGCGCCTAACTTGTGCTTATGTCTGAAACTGTTGCGAACGTGTCATTACTAACCCATTGTCCTACTGTCACACACACGCTAACACACACGCGACAACCGTGATATAACGGATCCAACGAAGCTCCGCGAACGAGAGAGCCGAGCTTTTGTTCCAAAATTGCAGTGAGACTAACAAACCGCTTTTGCTCTCCGAACGAAGATTTCTGAAAATGTACGAGAAATTTGAGGGATTTCAATTTTGTAAATCAATTATATTAATTGTTGCAAAAAGGGTGAATATCATAATTTGATTTTATTCCAAATTTGTCCCTCGAATCTAACGAATTTAACAAATATTTATTTGTAAATTTAATTAAAAAAAATCTTTTTTTTCTAGTTTGACATCTTTTTTCGAAATTTCATACAAATATCAGATTAGCGACATCGAATGCGAAATTACGATTTCAGGAGTTTATCTAGTTGTCAAATAAAATGTTAAAATATTGAACGAGATTTTCGGGAGAAAGTTCACATTCGTGAAATGCAAGTCGCGAAACTGAGATAGCAATGCGCGCGGATTCGTCGTGCTCGTCTGATTCTCAGCTGATGATTCTGCGAAGAATTTGGAAATCGCTGTAAAGTCGTTCCGCTGGGTGACATTTTCGCACACGTGACGATTGCAGGTGCAATCATCGTAATTCCTGTTCGGTGGACGTGCGCAGCGACGTTTTCGAGGAAGATCCTTGTCCTGGGACCGGAAAGTACATCGAGGCTCACTACCAGTGCTTAGGTTGGTTCACATTTTTCTATTCAGACGTCAGTTTTTCGCGCGATTGCGAATTTACTCTCAAGAGATATTCGCTTCTCATTTGCGCGCTGCGGAAGAGCCTCATAAATCTTGGGATTACAATTTGAGGAACAAAGAGGATTTTTTTCGTCTTATGATTTCGTCTTATAATCGTCGACGTTAAATGATATACTCCGACAATTATGTAACTTTTGTTTTTATTTATAATTAACTTTTTATTATTTTACAATTTTATTTGATGTTTGAAAAATTTTTTGTTTCTTAATATTTTTATGTATTAGTTAATTCAATTTTTTTATTTTAATTTTATTTCAATTTAATTTATTTTCTATCAAACAATCTTCTAATTGAAGAAATATGGTAATTAAATACCTAATATTTTCGAAACAATGTTTTTTGAAAACCATAAAGTCTTTGACTTAGGTACTTCAACCAAGAGTCAAAGCTTTGTCAACAAGAATTAAATTTTTTTTATATCTTAAGAATTGCATAAAAAATTCTCAAAACTAAACTTGCTAAGGCTGCTATAAAGCTGAAATAAAAATATGAATCAAATGGACGAATTTCGACGAAAAAGTCTCTCTCCGAGAAAATATCGCTTTCCTTCCCTACCCACGGAAGAAACGAAAGAAACAGAGCTGGATCCATGGCGGTACACGTGGTAAGGGTGTACCATAGTCATTTTGTTAAACGCGAGTCGAATCCTCGTGCAGGTGCAACGACCAGCAGAACTGCAGCATCGTTGCGTCCACGCTGCAATTCGGCGATCCTTGCCCGAATACACACAAATATCTTGAAGCGCACTATCGGTGCGTGTCCGGTAAGTAAAACTTTTCCATTTTTACTTTGTGAGAAGTTTCCATTTTTTTTTTTATTATCTTAGCATTATTGGACATTGCAGAAAGTTTCAATAAAATTTAAAGATAATTACAATTTGCAAAATTTCATTGCAATAAAATTTTGCAAATTGTAATTATCTTTAAAAGTATAAAGAATAAAAGTAATTTTTTAAATTAATACAATTTGAAAAATTAATTTTTAAAATATATTTGAAATAAATTTTTGCTTAATTTTTTTTTAACAAAACTTATCATTAATTTTTATTAGATTCCTAAATATAATTAGTGATCAATATCGATTTAATCATTAGAGACTTCATTATAATTAATATTAAATATAAATGTTAATTTGTTTTTTTCCTTATAAACATTGTTGTTATTTTCCAATATTGATACCTAAATCCTCTTCATCCATTTTATCTGCCTTCCATCATCGCTTTCGTATGTCGTTCGATCGATCTCGCGGAGATTCGATAGATCGAATTCTAGTTTTACTTCACCAATATATTTGCGAGCAGTCGGATCTTTTACTACTTTTCTACTTGGTCACAAGAGAAATAAAACCGAATTCTCTTCTCCCTTGAATTCGCGCGGACGCGTATATACTCGTCTTACCTTTACGCGCGCGATTATCGCGATGAATATCGGCGAGGTCCGGTATTTTACCTTATCGCCAACCCCCTCGGCCAATAAAGATGACCTCTATAGAGATAGTACCGCGAAATACGTGGACCATCCCGTTCTGGAATTAACTGTTGTCGCCATCTTGGGTTAAAGATCGTTTTACCCTTCACGGCTAGATCTAGTCGCGATATTGAACCATGCAGTCTAATACTTTGTGCTTTGTCTCTCTCTCTCTTTCTTACCCCATTTTTTGACGATTTGACGAATCTTTTATTCACGAAATATTTTTCGAATGAACAATTTATGATTGTGAAGTATTTAAATTAGAATTTATTTTCAAGAAGAGAATTATGTATTTTTTTTATACTTCTTGATCTTTGATGCTGTAAAAAAGAAGATAATATATTTTTTTCTGCAAGAAATAATTTTAATTAATACTTAATCGATATTATAAAATATGTTATATGCGCTTATATTTTATTGCATTAAATTTTTTATATTTGTTAAATATAAACTAAAAATTATTGTCTTTTATTTTTTTTAATAAAAATCTTGTTTACATTTTATTGTTTACATTTTTATTAGAAAATTAATTTAAATCTAAAAAACTACCTTACTCAAACGCATCAAATATTTCAATAAAATTCAAATATTATTCATGCAGAAATTAATAATAGGTAATATTCAAATATTATTGTATTTACCATATTCGAATCTGATATTCTCAAAAGGAGATTTATTCAAACTCTCATCGAATGATTACGATTAACAAGAATCCGATATAAATCCGATACAGCGGATAAGCTCCTTCCACCATAGCAAGCCAAGAAAAACAGAAATGAGAGTATCTCGGTATCTCCGCGAATATCTCATTCCCTTCAGTCTATCGGGAATATACGGGAAAGTATAGACAGTTCATTCAAACTCTATCGAATGATTAACAAGAGTCTAATATAAATTTGAAGCAGAGGATAAGCTCTCCATCATATCAATCCGTAAGAAAGAGAAAGAAAAAGAGATATAGGTGGGGGAAAGAGAAAAGAGGGACAACTTCGGTATTTCTGGATTGAGAAGACCTCTTGAAAGCTTTAAATATCCTGCACACTCCTGAAAATCACTTTTCTTCTTAATTATACTCAGTCTTCAAATCCGATAAGCTTGTAGACGAGCTGCTTAGCCCCACCCCCTCTCCTTCACCCTCTACAAAGATTTCTTCGCATCGTCAATCTTCCCATCCTCATTAAAGCGATCTTGACGAAACATTCACAGCGGCCACCACCACGACGACGTCTCGGCCGAGTCCACCGTGGTTCATAACTTCTCAGCCGAGTGTCTGGAGCACCGCTAAACCGACTGTCAGGCCTCCCTCGAGGATTACGACACCGGCGCAACAGCCACCCCAGCAACCACCAGCGCCATCCACCCCGGCGATGCCGATAACGACGCCAGCGAGGTCAGTGCGTCAGACATAAAAATCTGAAATGCGCAATCCAATCATTAAAAGCTGTATAATTTGAATTTTAATCTGAAATCCTATTTAGAGATTATCGAGTTATTATATTTATGATAAAAATAAAACAAAGCATGAAATAATAATTTTTTCGTTTCATTTTGCATATCAGTCATTAATTTTTTTTAATCATTGCGTTTACATCAAAAACAAGTAGTTTCTTTCTTTTGTTAATTCAGACGCGATCTGTATGATCGTCATAAAGTTTAGTGTATATGAGGGCTATCGAAAATAACAAGATCTTTCCATTTTTTAGTTCTACATCAACAAGATCCGACGTCGAAGTCGATGAGGATCAGGACTTAATACCTCCTGCGAATGGTTCTCCAGCGAATGGCCCGGCGATGCCGCCGATTATGTTTGAAACCACTCAAGCCACGACAACGTCCACCTTTGTTCCCTGGAGAACTAGCCGAAGAACCACCGGTAAGACTTTCTTTTCTTTCGGAGGAATAATAATGTAAAATATTTTATTTTCGAATAACATTGATCTCAAAGAAATTAAAAATATCATTCCAGTTTATATAATTTGATTAGAAGTGCAATGATTCTATTACAATATATATAAGAGCTTGTTTCACATATTTTTGGACAATCTTCAGATCTAGAAATTCTCGGGAGATAACCAATATCTCCCTGTAGATAACCAATTAGCCGATTATATTCGACAACCTTGTATCAACAACGGCGACAACATCTTCACACCCTAACAAGCTATATCCTGTTTCCCGGTTATGGATCCATAGATCTATAGATTGACTTTGAGGATAAGCCGCTTGTATCAGACAGCATCTAAGCGTAATAGATGTTCGAAACGATGTTATAGACGTTGTAACGATGATTAAAGATAAATGTCTATTGCTTTTGCTTTATTATTATTTTTTTTATTTTTATCACTCCATCAACACATTCTTGTCAATAATCTATAAATAACCGCACTTCTGCTCGATCAAAACGAGAGAAGTATTAAAATTTTCCGGAGTGGATTCGAGATTCCATTTCCGAGCATTGTTGCGCACCAGATTGCGTCCGCCGTAGCGCCGACATCACATTAACGCCGAGATGTTAACTGCAATTGTTAGTCGAGGTGTAGTCCACTTAACTGCAGTTACTGACCGAATCGTAACTGCATTGTTACAGTACCCAGCACACTGTATCCGGAGTCCAGTTCGAACGGCCAGTGGTACGACTATGGTAAACAAGTGTGTCCCCCGGTGGTGGCCAGAAACCTGTCCTGGAACACGACCAGGGTCGGCGAAGTCGCCGTACAGAGCTGTCCCGGTGGTGCTAACGGTCTGGCTAGATGGCGATGCCTGGTTCGCGGAGAATCCGCCTTCTGGCATCGCGACAGTCCGGACTTGAGTGAGTGCCGGTCCGTCTGGCTGACCACCCTGGAGAACCGCGTGTCGGACGGCGACGTGATTCTCGGCATCAGCAGGGAGCTTTCACAGGTGACAAATAACAGCCGCGGCCTGTACGGCGGCGACATGATGATCACCACGAAGATCATCAAAAACATGGCCGAGAAGATGGCCTACGACATCAAAACCTATCTGGACCCGAATCAGAGGGAGGTCAGCGTCACGGAACTGCTTCAGGGCGTAGTCAAGACCGGCAGTAACCTGCTCGACAAGGCGCAAATGGCGTCCTGGAAGGATCTCAGTCATCAGGAACAGATGAGGGTCGCCACGTCGCTGCTGATCGGTCTTGAGGAGAACGCCTTTTTATTGGCCGACACGCTTATGCACGAAAAGACCATCATGCACGACGACAAAAACATATGTGAGTACTGTTAATGATGATTGGTAATTGCTACATAACAAAATTTATTGGAGTACGCATTCATTATGTTCTTTATATGCCGCGTAGGGAGACATTAATATCCTCTTCATTAGGTTGTTGCTTTGCTGGCTACGGCCAATTGCTTAGATAATTGCGGAATATAATTTCGAAGTTATGTATAAAGCCTTATTTGCAATTTTCATTAAGATAAAATAGGATTATAATTTAATTTTGAAACTTAAATTTGAAACTTAAAAATTAGAGAATAATACTTTCCGACTTCCTTTTCATTTTATTATTCTCTTTATTAATGCGCTATTAAGCGTAACACAAAATATAAGAGGAAGCAAATTAAATTTATTTAATTCTCTGAAAAGAGTATTGTTAAGTTGTTGCAATTAGCTTATTATTAATATTTCAATTTACATTCCGCTTGTAAGACAATTTAAAATTCAACGGTGCAATTATCTTCATTATTCAGATGGGATCGTGTCTCCGAAATAATTATTTTAGAGTTTCGAAAGTCACGGAACGAAAACGCACGTTGCATTCGCCTTCGGCGTACATCGAATGATTTATATCGTTCGCGCACCCAATACCCGGTAATCTCTAGTATAGATAAAATATAGACTCGAATCCATCGTAATTCTCCGGTACCCGCCCGGATTACGTTGTAATCCGAGTGAGTATGGCGCGGGCGCGTGGCTATTATTATTACAAAACGACGATGGAATTACGAGCGACTTGATTTACTTCCCGGAAGTGCGTCGTGGCTTGATTGAGCCGCTGTGTACGTGCATCATCAGATGCACGCTTGATAAACTGCATAACAGCGGAGAGCAAAAAGCGTCGGAGGAAAGAAGGGGAGAGGCGGTTGATGAGCGACAGCCGGTCAGATGCTGTGTAACATCCTCCTTTCCAGAAGAAAAATCGGAATCGCATTAAGTCCCTCTTCCTGACAACGCCACTGATTGATATCGCGATCAATTCTTAATTCTTCATTTCGCAGCAGATTACAGATTACAGAGCGTGTTAGGACTATTGCTTCTTCTTGCAACATTCGAGGCGATTGAGCTCCTTTTAGCGAGCGAATTTTAAGCAATAAAATTTATTAACAGTATCATTTCATTATCATTCATTGAATTGCTCATTTTAATTTTATCCAATTAAATCCGCAGATAAAAACTTAAGGAAAGTAAAAATTATATCATCTTTTTTTTTCTTTTGTCAGAGTAATTTTCAATTTGTGCTACAGCACATGCAAACCTGAGCAAAAGTATGTTGTATTCTTTTAATTAATTTTATAATGGCTCCTACTTCTACTTCATACTTGAAGAAAATTGTATTTCGAAGTTACGTTTAAAATTGCAGTTATCACGTTTATTTATACAATAATGAAGTATTTCGATCTCCATCGCTACTTGACAAAGTTAAACTTTTAGTGCAAACTTTTAAAATAAGTGTTTGTAGAAAAGTTGGAAAACCACCGTTCTCCCTGTAATTTAATCCGCGTCTTTCGGCGGCAAAGTCGCGGCTAGAATTCTTATGTGGGGCGCGTTTAATCGCGCCAAGGGGAAAGATACACCTACTCGCTTAATTAGCCGCGTGCGTGTCTTCACCGCAGTGATGGAAGTTCGCGTCCTGGACGCGCGCAACATCGAGAACGAGCTGGAAGTTTTCCCGAGCGAGGCCGCCAAGCAAAAGTGGACCGTCTCGAACGATCGCGTGGAACTTACCAGGGGCGCTTTGCTCGACAACAGCGAGGCCGGCATCGTCCGGTTGGTCTTCATGGCCTTTGACAGACTCGAGGAGATACTGCAGCCGCAAGCGGAGCCGCCGTCCGTCGTCATGAACGACGATCCTCAGCCCTTACCGCGGAGGAACACCACGCGTCTCCTCAACAGCAAAGTTATCTCGGCGTCCTTGGGAAAAGGCCGACACATACAGCTCTCGGAACCCGTCCGGGTGTATTTCAGACATCTGGCGGTTGAGAATGTCACCAACCCCACTTGCGTCTTCTGGGATTACATATTGAGGTAATTTCGCTCCTGCCCGCGATCCTATTTCCACTTTGTACGATACTAGAAAAGTGCCGTGGAGTCTTTCTCTTATTTCTTCATTTTCAATTTTCTCTTCCTGTGTTTCCGCGCTGCGCCGAAATACAAGACTCGCGACAACTCGCGCCCGAAATAGAAAGTACATTTGCCATTATTTAATCCACCAGGTTTTCCTTCCTGAGAATCGCTTATAGAACTCGAATATTCTATTGATTTGTTTGAATAAAAAAAAAAAAAATTATTCTTAAGCTCGATTGAAGAACAAGATTTCTAATTTTGATTTTTAACTCCGTAAATTTTCGACGAGAACT